CCTGATTTAAATGTTTTATTTTTAATTATTTTGGACACATAATACTTGTACATATGTATGAGGTACATGCAATGTCTTCACCCAAGAATACAGTGTGTAATAATCAAGTCATGGAAATTGCAGTATCTATCAACTTAAGCATTTGAGGGATATGAGTAGAAGTTCATTTATAGATATTTGTTATATAAGTAATTTCTTTACAGTTCGATATTATTTGACTTACAGAAAAATCTATAAGATGAGCTCCTTGTCAGAAAGTTACCAATGTTGCATTGAGAGTATGCATGACTACAGTGAGAAGTTATTAAGCACTTCTTCTAAGAAAAAGTTTAAGTGGCAATTTTTGACAAAAACTCAGAGTATTATCACAATTTCTAGTTTTGGAAATTCTTTCCATGTAGAAAAATAGAGACAGTTGGCAATTTATGAATAATGACTCAGCTGTTGAATAAGTCTAAAATTGTATTTTGCTAAATTTTGCTTACTAGATCATTAACACTTAGATGACAGGCTACAGCAGTGATTCCTATGGTCTGCTATAACTAAGCCATGTCCATGCCCAGTACCAAAAGGAGCTACTGATTGTAGAATTCCCTGGCAATCCTTATAAACTGGAGGTTGATATAGAAGTGTTTGCCTTCAACTTGCTATGTGAGCCTTAGAATAATTTAGAGTTTTTAACAGAAAGGTAGCACAGGTCATTAGGAGAAGTCTATGTCAGATAGAAAACTAAAAACTAATTCATGAATACCCATAGACTGCCAGTGTATTCTATGTATTAGAAAATAAGTTCTTATTCTATTTTATGGAGGCAGCATCTGAACCGCTTCCCATGCCTGGCTTCATTCTGATTGACTCCTTCTTTATTCCATTGTCCTTCCTCAACAGAAGGAGCTGTTAACTTAGTGGTGAGACCAGAGTCTCTGTGGGGCTACATGATATAATGCACAGGTTCTGCCCGAAGGGCAGGATCCCATCTGCATCTTTCATTAGATCAGGGCCCAGTCCAGAAAGGAAGGTGAGGTTTTCTCTTTCTCTGTATCTACTTGCCAAGGTGTGTACCTGTGGTAGTGATTTCTCAGCCCAATCATCCTTTGTCTGAATAGCACCCTGAACAGCAAACCAAATAGCCTATTCAAAATTTATAGGAGTTACAAATGGTCAGATTGCATGGGAAGCCTAAACTGCAATACATTGTGGACTTTTTCAATACCTGATTATTGTGCTAGTGCAGACACTCACTAAAATTAACTCCTTTCTGATAATATCTGTAGTGTATACAGTGCCCTCAGGAAGTCTGCTAGCAATACTATGAAAAGACAGAGCAGAATTTGGTGATTTCTGTGTACATGCTTTCAATCCCATGATAATATCAAAACTTCACTGCACCTTTTCAGTATATTTGTTATGATAACACTGTTAATGTCAAAGTTTTTATAAATTAAAACCCACCTCTTTACTATTGTAGCATTTTCCATATATATTTTAGTTTTTGAGCTGATACCTGAGATAAGTAGAACTATCCTAAGAGTTAACCCTTTGGACAGAAAATTTCTGCAGCTGTGCTCTTTACAAAGTTCAACAGAGTCATTCAGTAGCTGTCCACCACTAAGCACTTTATCTAACCTTTTGTGGGATCTGCGCAAGAGCTGAAGCAATCACATTGGCCCTTTCTTCTGTCATGTTACTGATCAGTGACCCCAGAGAAAACACCACCACACCATTCTCTCCAGAGCTCTGGACAAAGTCTTCCATGTCCTGTGAATAAAGAATGTGTTCCATCACAAACTGGTATCAGTATAAGAAGCACATTTGAAAAGATTGTTAAAAACATCCAAGAAGAGAAAATCAAGTATTATTAAGAATTATTAGAGTAAGGGCTATTTTTCAACTGAGCTAATCACTAAGTTCACATGAAAAGAAATGTGTATTATGTGATATATGGGTTCAATTGTGGATATTTGTGCAAATATGTGTTTGCCTGTGTATGCACGTATGTGTGTGGGAGGAAGAAATGAAGCAGAGCTGTTGCAAGGTAGTTCAGAGAGATAATGCTAGAAAATATTATACCCAGACTCTTCATTTATATCATTATATTTCCTAATATAGATGATTAAATGTGGCTTCACTTGGCTTTAATTCTATATGATTGGAGTTCTAAATCATTTTGTTCATTTCAGGCACTTTCCTGTGGAATTTTTTTAATGTGGAGCCATTGGAATCATTCTCTGATTATCACAAGGAGGAAATCTTACTAAGAGTTGTGATGATTTTATGCCTATATTTCTTTATTTCTATAATCTTTTATACCTTACTTAAAGTTTGTCAGAGTTTCCAAGTGTTTTCACCTAAAACACACAAACACACACACACACACACACACAAATGCACACACACTAAATAGCTGAAGGTTAAGAATCACTGATATTCAGGATATTGATACTGTGGTTTGGAATTTGAGTGAAATAGCCCCAAGGATTTCATTTATGATACAGAATTTTATGGTATGTAGTTACATAGTTGAATGATCACATTTCTTAAGTCATTATTTAGGTATGAAGCAATTTTTATCCTGAAATTACACTTTTAGATTGATGTGCTATTTATAACTGGCTGGGAGGGGCTATCATTATCCCCCCACTGTGTCCAACAGAGAGCACCTTTCCCACAATGGAGAGAACCACCAGGCCGTTCTGTCATGGACATCTGGTCACTCTGTTGAGTACCTCAATCACAGTATATAAAACTCCTGGTGAATAAGTGCTTATTTAGAATTGAATGAGAATTATTCTGATTTATGATTTCAATTTTCAGCCAATTTTTAAATTTTAATATATTCTATAGAGGAATAATTCTAAATTGCTCAATTTATTCTCCCACCTAAGAACAAACCAAAAAAAAAAAAAAAACCAAAAAAGGTAAACAGGAAAAAAATTAAAGAAAATAAATGTAGAACTAAATGTTTGCTGGATATCACATCAAAATCATAGACTCTTTTTTGTTGTTGTTCTTTTTGTATTAACTTAAGTAACTGTTTCTTTCTTTGTGTAAAATAATGATCAATTCCTTCCAACATAGCAAGTATACTTTCATATGTTAATCTGTGTGGTGAGGCTTCTGTTTAAAATTGTTTTTTAGAAAAAAATAATTCCCAACTTTGAAAAATATAGTTTTAACCAAATGACATCAGTTTTAATATGAGGGTCACTGTACTATTAATATTATTTCATGTAATACATGGGGTATCCAGCTATTCTGTGTGATTCAACTTACCTGAAGCCACATTTTGTGTAACTTGTGCTCAATGTTTTGTCTCACTGCCTCACTGCCAAAAAACCCTTCTTCATCCATTCAGTATAGAAGTAATACAACCTCTGTCCAGAATCATTACTGATGTCATTCTGTGACATCTTTATAAAAATAATACAAGATCAATGTAAGAAATTTTGCAATATTATGAAAAATGAAAAAAAAAAAAGATATTGAGTTTCACTCATACTCTCTGCCCAGAGATATTCCCAATTTAAAGTTTATGTGCTTTCCCAGGAAAGGAGACAACAAAAAAAGAAAACTACAGACCAATATCCCTCATGAATATAGATGCAAACATCCTCAACAAAATTTTAGCAAATAGAATTAAGCAGCACATCAAAAAAATAATTCACCATGACCAGGTGGGCTTTATTCCAGGGATGCAAGGCTGGTTTAACATACGCAAATCTATAAATGC